GACCATTTGTTTGGCGGAAGTCATTGACAAACTCCGTAAAAATAATCGTAAACCACGATAATGCCAGTTCTCACACGGCCAGACAGACAATAGAACTTTCGAAGGTGAACAACGTTGATCTTATGAGCCATCCCGCATGCAGTTCCGACCTGGCACCTTTTGACTTTTATTTATTTCCAAAAATTAAGAACCAGTTACGCGGTCAACGATTTTCGTCACTTGAAGTGGCTAACAAAGAGTATGAAAAGTAATTATGTTTTAGAGATTGTCACGGAGGAGTGACATAAATGTTTTCATAATTGGTTCATTCGTATGAAAAAGTACATTAATGCTAACGGAGAATATTTTGAGAAACAATAAATTCATTTCTGACCATTTATAGTATTTTTGTCTTATTCGTTCCGAAAACTTATAGTGCGCCCCACGTATATACGATATCAATTATATCTGAATAGGTTATTAATTTTGGAGGCCTACCACGTAACCTAACTAATTATAAGATCAGGAGGTACGGATTACCTTACAAAGTAAACACACATGACAAAATAATTGGAGCAACAATACAAATACTATTATTGATACAAAGATAGAACAAAGACAAAGCAAAATTCCTTTGATGTTATTGGACTCGAACCAGCGTCTGTTGCTCCAACGCGGCTACGTACATTATGTCCAATATGATCGAAGTATTTTTTCTTTATGTTTGTTCGATTTCTGGTCAATAATAATAACAAACTAGTGTAGTATTTCCACAAAAAAATAGATGAATATCATGGTAATAAAAACGTCATGATATTCAATTCTGCCTCCTTGGCCGAACGGTTACCATACTGGACTGCTACGCAAAGGATTTGATTCCCGGGTCAGGTCAAATATTTGTATGGCCTACATTTATTTCTCTCCTGAGTTTGGGTATAATTTTGTGGTTGGCTATGTGTGTATCCATGGCACCCCTGATACAGGGCTTCCTTACTGCGAGGCTAAGAGAGTCTGCGTTAGTATTATCATTAATATAAACAAAACATATTGCAATATAAATTGTTGTTACCCATTTTCAGCATAACCTATACTAAATAAGGGGTTTGTATGTAAAACAAAGCTCTCTGAAATGAAACCTCACGTGACTTACTTACTCGACTTTCAGAAATCAATTCTCCAAGCCTGAAATAGTATAACTACGATACATTTTAACTGCTAATATCGACATAGTAAGAAAAATAATAGGCGTGGCACTAGTTTGTTATTTCGTAGCGTGGCATAAAGACTGGCATCAAAGTATCATCACAAGCGTTTCGTTTTTTTAGCTTGCAATAGAAATGATACCTGAATATTAAAAGGTATAATTAAAACAGTACAATAAGAACTTGTGAACAAATATTCTAGGTTAGTTACTTTGTATACTTGTTGTTAAACTGATACTAGGCTACATTACAGTATCGTATCTACATATGTAAATGTAATCAATGATAAGTCACCATAAACGACGTGGTGCTAATGGCTAGCCGCTATGATTACGACGCCATAACGTTAACATGTCTTAGTGAAAATAATAGTACAGTAATTCAGTCTTTCTGGTAGGGTACAATTTGTTATTAATACCTACATATTATAAAACATTAGCGGGCTTTACACAGATACTCTCGCGCGTGATATAGTAATCGGGCACTCCAACATGCGTCAGTTTCATGCGATCTATCGTGCGCTATTAGCCATTACATGAACTCTCCTTGACAACAAAACAACGCTTTATTGTAATAAAAACGAACACGAGCAATCGCGCGCGAAAGTACGTAGTTTGACAAAAATCAAACAGGTAATAGCACACGATGGCGCAGCGTGCAGGGGTTTCCCAAGCGCAATCCTGTACGCTCCTGATCAAGCGCTATATAGTGACTGTGTAAAGGGGGCTATTGTACGAGATATCGTGTTTTGGGAGACATGTCTTGCCGATAAGCATATATCCAGGTATGTGCAACTGATCTTGTCCATCTCCAGGGGATTAGACGTAGGTTTCGATTCCGTACGTTATGATATTCCAAGAATTCGCTAAAAGCGTAACATTTTCACCTTTATATGGCGAACGGCCATGGGAATAGAATTTCTTGCCTGCAGACTTATTCTTATACCTACCTTGATTATCATTGTTAAAGTTTAAAGGTTGTCCGTGCAAAATAATTGTATACATTTCACTTAAAATTATGTGCCGATAGGGTTTTAATCTAGGACGAATTGTTAGTTGATTTTTATACAGACAGGCGCCATTGCTTACATTGTTTTTTTTAAAGGTTAACGGCGTTTTAGCGGTTTTGAATGGTGGTTGTTGAGGTGGTTGATCATTCCGGCACATACTAGCTGCGAAACGAAAGCTGTACTTGGAGTGAGTTAGTGAAAGTTAATAACTGAAGATGCGGATATCGTATGGATCGGACATTTCCCAAGTGTGACTGAGGAATCCAGATAAGCTTTTCCAAAAGCCATCTAAAACATGTTGTTTGTATGTAGCAGCATTTAAATTAGTTAAGTTTTTTTTGTAGCTGTAAAGCTTCTTGTGAAAGAGTTTGTCCAGTAAAGTACTGCCACTTTACCTATTTCTGCCACCAAGCAGTAATGTGACCATTACTGCCTTTCGGTTTTGAAGGACGGTTGAAATTACAGGCACATGGGACTTATCAACTTATGTAACAGGGTGACGGGCGCAGTGGCAGTGACCATCAGACTTTGCGATTTAAAGGTCTGAATGGGACTGCAATGTTATGGACAGGCGTGTCGCTTACCATTATTTGTTCGTCCCGTCACTTGCTATTATAAAAAAATATGTAAAAATGCATAGCTGAGGTTTTTACTCTAAAGGCAATATTGTTTAACTATAATATTTACCGATATAGCCTTATTATTTATTAAATAATAAAGTTTTCAGAATAAAACTTTATACCAAGTTTTTCCACAAACTTAGAACATTTTCCAACCGCTCTTAATTAATTCATGTGAATTTGCACCAAACTAAAATTTGTACTAACTGCGAATTGTGGACACAAATCGAGAATTTCACGAATAGGGATTATGAACAAATAGAAAACTTTGCTGTTAAAAAATTTTACCAACTGCTGACATTACTGGAATCAAATACCTGGATCTAATTTTAAGCCTTTTTATTGGCTTTAATTTATTGTAAATCAAAATGAGTTTATTTGACAAGCAATACCAAAGAAGAAATGGAAAATATTTAATAGGTATTATATAGATAGGAAATGAACTATTTTTCCGGATTTAAATGGCGTATATTTGTTTTTTCAAAAAAAAACCAACGTTTCGGCCCCTTTACAGGTTCCGTGGTCACGGTTGACTGAGGTGGTACAGTGGCGATTTAAATCCGGAAAAATAGTTTCATTTCTTATATGTAACAATCGCGAAAACCTAAGAACTCGATAGATAGACAGAGGATTAAGAAGCTTATTGTCCTCACTAATATCACTATATTGTAATACTGTGCTAATATTCCGCCATAACCCTTAATGGCTAAGAACTTAAGAACACATTAAAATTGTCAAAACATATAATTATGCATACGCCGGCGTAAAAAACGATGATAATTAAAATACAATTATAGCCGCCATATTTGTTCGGTGTAGAAGTCACTTTAAGCTATAAATGGAAAAAATAATCGATGTAAAAATCAACAGTATATTGTAAATTATAAATAGAGAAGATATTTAAAAAAAATGTAAATAGTTACGTAACGTCGCTACAGAGTGGAAACTTTTGCTACGCATTTTTGTAGTAGGTACATTGTGTATTAAAGATGGGAAACAAAAAAATATTAAAGAGGGACAGGCCCGAAGCCAAAGGCTGAGGCTTTAGTAACTCGAGTTTTGTATTTTTTTAGCGTCTGTCATACATACAATGTTTTTCATCATATTTGCGAGGAAATAAATACAATTTGTATATGGTTCACAACACAACAATTGCATATTTGGCAAATGTTTTTTTATAATATTTAAATTATGTTTTTTTGTTTGGTAGTGTTTTTTTCATTGAAAAAGGCAAAGGCACTAATGCGCCATACAGCCAAGACTGAGAGTAATCTCTTTCTTGTATTCTATTACAAAAATTAAATATCTTCGATAGTGCTTCTCTTATTCTTCCATAGATAAATAAATTTTATACAGAAAATAATTGAAATTAATTATAAAAAATTGTTAACAATAAGTATTTAAGTAGTATGATTCAAGGCGAATGTTTTAATTTTGAACTTAAGTAACCTCCTTGCTTGAACTTGAACCTGTCTTATGTAAGGAAGTATGTTGTACTACAAATAAAAAAAAAATCCTTACCGACCATGGCTGTAATGGAAAGGAAAGGTTTTATTTGGGGCATTACAGTCAAGTTAGCCATCATACAATAATATCATTTACGAGCAAGTGTGCTGTAAAATATTTTAACTAATTTTTGTTACGGCAAAACGTGTTTAAATATGTACTTTATTAGAGTAATGTAAATGCTACACTACTATAACCAACATGTGTTTACTCTATTTTACAGTATTTTTTATTCTTCCTGAAAAAAAATACATTCGAAATATTTACTCTAAAGAAAAGAACTAATTACATTGCATTATCTAGCAGAAGAGTGTAAAAAAAACCTAAGTCATTTCGTGACTTTTAATAGTTTCAAACTTTTCCCTTGCTTTCTGTAAAAAAAAAATGTACGTAAAATAAAGTAACAACACTTTAAAAATAAACGAAGTGGTGGCTGGTTTCAGACAAAAAAGCGCAACTTTTAAATACACGAGCTTTAGTACATTTACATCATCTGAAACAAAAACAAGTACCTATATGTTCAAGCACAAGCACAAGCGCAAGCGCTTGCGATCTACGGTTTGCGATTACAATTGAATAACTATCAACAAACCATTATCATCACATATTTTTAAAAGGGTACTTGATTTGTGTATTTTTTTAGTTGGTGACTGTTCTCACTAAGAAAAGTTATTTCTTACACAGAGGCGGCGTTAGTGGCTTTGGGCGGCGCAAGTGCAGCGTTGTTGTTGCTGATCGTAATGGCTGGAGTGTTCGTAGCGCGCCGACGCAAGAACAGCCCTTCCCCCGCCCCCTCACCGCCTATCCTGGTCTACCCTCCTCATGATATCTCAGCGCCTTGCTATTTGTAAGTATATTTGTTTAATAACTCATAATAACTTTTAATTGAGTGCATGAGTTAAACAACACACTCATAAACAAATGCAGTACTTAAAGAAAATCCACCATTTTGAGGTTTTACACACAATTGCAAATTATTTTTGTAAGTTATTGATGATTATTGTTTTATGATATTGGTAAGTCGCCATTATTTTATGTCAGGAACATAGCAAGTGAATGGTCATACATTCTGCCTATAGGAAGGGGTCGAAACAACTTTGGAATGATATACCATTTGAAATATTTACAACCGCGGCAACTACTACTTACTTAAATATACATAGATTTCAAGACTTACATGTTTATTCACTAAATGATTGTCACTAGGGAATCATTAGACGTTCCATGGTGACGTACCTATTGACTTACCTATTGACCATGGAGCGCTCCCGAAATATTGGAAAAATAAAAGAAGTCATGCGGTAAGAAACCTGTATCAAGCGAATATCATTAAAAATATATCTCAAACGTTCTATCGTTAGCAAATCCGCTTAAGCAAAATTTATTATAGCAACTTGAAGGCGACGAAGCAATTAACTATGTACATGATCCTTTCGAATTAAGAACTTAATAGAAATATCCTCGTTAGGATAAAGAGAGAGAGGTAAATTGAGAGAGAGAGAACGGTAACGAGATAGTTTATAATCACATTTCTCCATAATTAATGCGCTTCGAAATTTGAACGTGTTATTTCATAATTAATTAGCATAATTTTAGAGTTTGTTTTGAAGTATATTTAGCTTCTATATCCTAGTTTGAGAACTACGATCAATTCTCTGAATTTGTCTTCACCAATGGTTATGAAATCCTGGATAAACTCAGGAACTTTCTGCATAGTCCAAAGTTTTGATTATAAAATGATTAATATACAACAAAATAACATAAACAATTGTTTTCAGTGCAGAACAAGCCAATTTGTTATATTGGTCGTCATTAGTTCATTCGTATATTCTGACCGTCATTCGTTCGCTTGTAAAAATAGGGACTGTCTGTTGCTATCTCCAGTGTCGAATTACAAAAATACACATTTATTTGTTTTTTAAAATGAAGAAAAGCAAAGTACCTGTCATTAGATTCCGCAGTAATTAGAATGGAAACGAAGTCAATCAAAGACATTTGTGGCAATTATTGCAGTCCATTAAAAAGACATCTGCCGCCTTGAAAGCAGTTAGTCTGAACTAACCTAATCAGAAAACTCTCTCATCTTTCAATGTATAATCTACTTATACCAGTAACAATTTGTACAGAATAAACATAACTAAGGCACTGTGCAAATTTGATTTGCCCAATTCCGTAGTGAAAATTTTAACCTGGCAAATGAGCTGCTTGAATAATTAATTACAAGTTGCGAGTTGAAGACTTTGTTGAAGTCGTCCCATCATAAATTACAGAAGAATTAGCAGCATAGTTTGATCTAATAATGGATAGGCATAGAAAAAGAATAAAAACAATCAACTTCTATTTATAACATCTTATTGAATACTTTCTACTCCCTTCATATCTTTTTAAGGATTTCGGGTCGCAAACGTTCTAGAGTGTTTAAATAAAACTGTGTAGACATTGTACATCAATATTCTATAAAAGCGCCCAAATATACCTGTAAAGCAACTCGTAACAAAGCGTTTTTGTTGCTTTGGAATTTCGGACATTTCGTATCAGATTTTTCTTTTTCAGATTCAAAGTCGATTCGATATTGAATCGTAACCTTGAAGCCAAAGTTGTACGGGGTTCCTTTGGTTACAGTTACTATTTGACCTTTTGAGTTACTTTCTTTCTACAGTTCGCATACTGATCAATGAGGTCTATGTGCATTGCTACGCGCTGAACTATATAGGCTATCAGTTTTCAATCCGAAAATCCAATTTAGGTTAAATAATTTAATTGTTTAATGAAAATTTTGACGCAACATTAATTGTTCTCTGCAAGTAATAAAATCGAGAATTAGCTGTCTGAGTTTATAATTCTTAACAATAAATCTCAACTATAGCGTCTGATATCCGTAGGGAAATGCTGTGACTTCTGGGTCTTTCGACGTTGTCTCTCTCTTAAAGGATTAGAACTCGATTTATGATTTCTCGTCAACTTTTGGGCAAATGCATGAGAAAATATTTACAACAAACAATTGTTGACAATTAATTAATAAAAAGCTTTGTTTCATTCACAACTTTTATTCTGATTTTTTTATTGAGTATAGTAAATTTTTATGTAAGAGATGTCGTCAAATGAAATAAGAAACGCAAACTAGTTACATAAACAGTTCGTCCAGGCAAGTATTGCCACCTTACATATTTCTGCCGCCAAGTAATAATGTGAGCATTACCGCGGTCCAGTTTTGTTAGGTTACGGGTGCTGGTGAAATTACAGGCACATGAGACTGTGATGGTGCGACCTCCTTACATCGTCATCCCACCTTCTTATCGCCTTTCTCCGGTTCCTGGCCACTCGTATTTAAATTAAAATTTTGAATTTCCATAGTTCTTTTACCTCGCATTCTGATTTTGTTTCATTCCATCGACATTCCTTGCCCGATCGCGGGCGATCGCTTATTTTTTGAGCCATTTACCAGTTACCAAAAATCTTACGTGCGATAAACATTTTTAAAGACCATAAATATTGTTAAAACTGGAATAAATATTTATAACACTGGATTTATGACCACTAGTTCTTTACCGTTTTGAATTCTTGAACGTTAAACTCACTTAGGCGAGATCTGCGGTTGACAGAACATCCCAAGCGGCTACATTATAATCGACACGACGTGCTTAAGCGGTGGTGCCAATCCACCAACAGTATCAGCACGCTCTTAGGGCTTATCAACAATATAATCTTTGCGATTTAAAGCACTGTGCGGCATTGCAAATGTTACAGGCGTGTCGTAAACCATCAGGCGCACGACTTCGTCTTGTTACTAAGTATCACAAAAAAAAAAAAGAATTTCAAATTCATCTAATGTTTACACATCGCAAAATTTTGATATGATTAGTGAAATTTGAATGATTTAGTTATAAAATCTCTTTACTATAAAAATAAAACCTTATAAATAGTATATAATAATAATCACAAAGTACACACTCAACATAGCCCCACACTAGGGAAATACTCTGTCGCGGCTGTCATGTACACACACATAGACGACCACATATTACTCCCAAACTCACAAGAGAAATAAATGTGGCCATACAAATATTTTTCTCCGCCCGTGAAACGAACCTGGAACCTCTGCGTGGCAGTCCAACGTGGTAACCGTTCGGCCACGGAGGCACTGGTTGTAGTATATTATTATTTACAAAAATAGTTGAATATCATTGTGGTAAAACATCCATGACATTCAAAACTTAATTAAGAAATATCTTTGACAAGTTGTGAACAAACAAGTGACGTCAGGCTAATTATACACTAACTAACACTAACACTATATAGTGTTACTGTAAGTGGTGCAGTAGCCGTTAGACAAAGGAAAGTCTATTCTCGCGAGTTTTTGTTTAGTTTCTTAATCCCCGACGAAAAGTAGGGAGTTATAAGTTTGAAAAACCTTTGTCTGTTTATCTGTATATGTATGTTTGTATGTCTGTCTGTGTCATCGTAGTTCCCAAACGAATGGACTGTGTCCCTATCATGAGTTGAGAGACTGTCAGAGTTGTCGTTAGCGAACGCATAAATTACTTCACAATTTTGTATGACAAATTATACAGCGCTCGAAATCACATTACAAAGTAACAAACATTTTGTATACAAATATTTGAACTTTGTCGCTAGTAAGAACTGTCGGTCAAAGTAAATTCACGGTAGAGGCTCTGACGACGTGATAATACTCGTACCTAAATATTAAATCAACTTTAATTCATATCTATTGCACTATAGTAAAGGCATTGTTCAAATTGATGTTTACTTCAATATACAGTACCTATATAGTCAGTACTCCAAGATACCCGACTCTTTAAACGACCTTTTGATTCTGGGCATAATAATATATGTGTTAAGAAACCTGTTAGACATGACCTAGTGAGTTGTAAAATTACTTATGGTATAACTTCCTGACATTTTTTAAATAAAATTTAAGTATTGGATAAATTAAGATGATCGTTTTTAACTCCAACGTTTTCTTTTTATTATAAAGTTTAAATTCCTTTAACACTTTCCTGTTGAATGTGTAAGACGCTCTCAGTGTCGTATTCTAGAACTCTACTCAATGCTCAAGTCAGGATTGCACTGGAAAGACAAGCTCTGGAAATACGACCCTAACGGCAGGGACTTGAGTATGATTTCAAGTGCTTTAAACCATACTCAAATCCTAACTTGAGCATTGAGTAGAGTTCTAGAATACGACTCTCAGACCCAAAACGTCCGTATGGGGTCAAATATCTTGCGGCATCGATTGTACTTAAAGAAACTTTGGTTATGTTCATTTATACCGCATCGCTGTTTGCCTATTTCGAATTTATGAACGTTTACATCAAATTTATTAACCAAAATTTACCTTTCGACCCTACCCATAAAGACGTCTTTCGATCCCCGTTTGGATAATATTAGAAACATAAAGATAAAAAATACTGCAGTTGTAAATTTTATTCGACTAATAATGGGTTTTCTGTACACCATGGCTTTTTGCGAGTTTTATAACAGCCGTAAAGGCATGTAAATTTGCTAGAAATTACATTGGAACCATTTCTAATATAGCTATGTCTTTCAATGTGTTTATTCGTTATGTAATGTAAAAACAAGCATAGTAATAACATGATACAGGTTTACATTGGTATCTAGAATTATAAACAAATCTCTTAATATTTTGTTAAAATTCAGACCGTGTCTAGATTCTTCACTTGTATATGCATTTGTATAATACCTTATGTGACAAATGTTCGGGCCAAATTTTCAAAAAGCAAAAGTACTTAAGAGTAATAATAGCAAATGGGGTGTGCTGCGCTATACTCACACTCTTTCACACGTTATATCAGCGAATCACGTAGTCATTTCATACGGAATAAATCCACCTATCAACCGTATTGATTCATTTAGACCGTATTGTCATTCAATTCCAACATCATAAAAAAATAAAAATGAAATTTTAAATTTTTGTTTTGTGACCCCATTTTATCGTACATGGGTATATTTACCGTATAAGGCTTCGGTTACTATGCATGCCAGTTCTGACGAAAATGTGTTCGGACAAAGACGTTCGAAATCCTAGTCAGAACAAGGCGGTTACAATGCGCGCGTTTTCTGATGGATAAAATATAAACATTAATTCTAACTGCTTATGGAACTAATGTAAACCCCGCATCAAAATAAATACAAAATTATATTCACTGCTAGTGTTGAGTTCTGTAGTTACTTTCACCCACTTTTGCCGAGAAATATCTCTATTGTTTTCATTTTTGTTTCTCACATCCCACAAACAACTGTGTTCATACATAAGATTTATTAATTTATCATTATCCATAGTGAAATAATCAAAGCACTCGCGAAAACACCCAAAACAGACGCAGGTCCCACGATAAAACCAAACTTGTTTGAACTTCAACTGGTTCTGACGACGTCGTGCAAGCTCTGTTTGTCACTGCCAATTTAAACACTGACGTTGAAAAACAGGCGTTTGTTCGCACAAATTAGTCAGAACTAGTCAGAATACTTTTTCGTCAAAACTCGCATTGATATTAACCGTAACCTTAGGTGATTAGCAACTAGGCCACACCACTAATTTTATACATTTAAACTTTGTTTAAACAGTACCAAGGAAGTGAATTTCTCCCTGCCTACTTTGAGGTCATCGTCGCTTGGTGAGCTTCGCGATGCGGTGAGCGTCAACAGCCTTGGTAGTGATGTGCTCTGCCCGCCGATACCACCGCAACATCGATCCAATTCTTTCAGTAAGTATAACAATACAACTCAATAAAGAAATAGAATCGGGAAACAAACAATCATTTCCGCGACATTTATGTGACACTTGATACATCATTCTTTCGTTCACAAAACGTGTTGCCTTGTATACTGTGCAATAAATCGCACATTAAACCAAAAACTATCGTAACTCAAAAATGGTGGAATTGAGAAAACATAGTTCGAAAAATTACTGAATGGAACCAATAAAATTCTATTCTCGTTTATAAGTCATTATCGGCGCATTTCGATACCTTCAATGAACACTAAGCCAACTTAATTTTTGGGCCTGCTCTGTTTTTATTTTGTTTTTTGTTTCTTTTTTTTACAAAATTCGTTTTTTTTGTTCTTTTTTCTTTTTTTTTTACAAAATTCGTTTTTTTTTGTTTTTGTTTCTTTTTTTCACAAAATTCGGGGAGCACAATTAAGATTATATTTATATTAAGCAGCCATACTTACTAAGGCAAATAAATATGGCTGTTTACAAAAATAACAGAAGATGACCAAAAAATAAAGATGGCGTAGTGTTCATTGGAGGTATCGATTTATACGTTCCACGTTCCTCCTCTCAGGTGAGGGTTTAATCCATAGTCCGCCACACAGACCCAATGCAGGTTAGTGACTTCTCACATTTTCCGAGGGTTCTGAATCTTGTTTGACGTGCAGAGTTTGTCACGATGTTTTTTTTTGCCGAAAAGCTCATGGTAAATTTCAAAGTAAATTTCACACATATATTCTGAGAAACTTAGAGGTGCGAGCTCTGATTCGAACCCAAGGCCTGTGCTTGAAAGGTGGTAGATCAAACCGTTAGGCTACCTTGACTTTAGTAAGTGCATAACTAAATATTATATATAAATTAAAATAATCCCACTATTCGCAATGAGATCTATTCAGTCTCAATTCTACCACTTTTGAGTTACGGCAATATTTAGTTTTATGTGCCAAATACTTTTAATAACTATACGTATCGTTTATTTAGGGAATAGGTATCTATACACTTTTTTTCAATAAACATTTGTAACAATCAATGTCTTATAAGTATCCACACGGAAACGTGCTCGCACAATGAAATAGTTGAACTACGTGATCCATTATTTACAAAAGCGGAGCGCAGAAGAGCTTTATTTTAGTAGCCAACCGAGTTTTTTATTAAAACTAAACTGCTTGATAATGTAGATAAATATAAAAAGTCATCTATTAAATAAGCCATGAATATGATTTCGTTATTTTTTAAGTTATACCCCTTAACTCGTGTTTAAACGGAATTAATAATATTTGATGAAAAACTTTCATAGATTTCTCTCACATGATGGTACGGTAAAGTCGTTAAAAAGCAAAAACAAAGCACATAGAAAAATTCGTAACATCTGCTTGTTCGTTCCGTAGCCCTGTTGGGAGAGCATCAGGCGCGGTAGTCTGGTTGATGGTTGAAGGAATTTTTCTTAATGTTCGACCTTTGTATTAATAATAAATTATACAAAGTAGTGGAGTCATTTCACTAAAAAATAAATGGATAGGTATCATGGTACAGGCCTACCGCTTAACTGAATCGGTTCCTGACTGACAATTTACTTAACAGTTAGGTCGCGCTGCACACGCGATAATTTCAACAAGATTGTTCTGACGATATTCAATAACAAATTGATAGAAAAGAGTGCCAAATTGCTTGTCTATTCATTTCAATTATCAATGAAACAGTTTTTTTTATTATAGTTTCACATAACAACAAATGACTAATTTGGTAGACACATTTTTTTAATCAACTTGCTATTGAATATCGTCAGAAAAATTTTGTTGAAATTATCCTGTGTGCATCGCGATATAACTGTTACGTAAATTGGAACTCCTCCCGCACCGCACTGCTACCTAAGGAACAGACTAGGTTAAGCGGTAGGCCTGTAGTAATCATCATCATCATTCAGCTATACGTTGCCCACTGCTGGGCATAGGCCGCCCCAAACGATCTCCACGAGTATCGGTCCTGCGCTGCCCGCAGCCTTCGGCTTCCCGCGACCTTTACTCGATCGTCGGTCCATCTGGTGGGGGGCCTACCCACTGAGCGTCGTCCGGTGCGCGGTCGCCATTGGAGAACCTTCCCGCCCCAACGGCTATCGGTTCTCCTAGCTATGTGCCCCGCCCACTGCCACTTCAGCTGAGCAATTCCTCGAGCTACGTCGGTTACCTTAGTTCTCCTACGGATTTCCTCATTTCTGATTCTATCATGTAGAGAGATACTGAGCATAGCTCTCTCCATCGCCCGCTGAGTGACCTTGAGCCTTCGTATGAGGTCCATAGTGAGGTACCACGCTTTTGCTCCATATGTGATCACTGGCAACTCACACTGGTCAAAGACTTTCGTCTTGAGACATTGAGGTAATTTGGACGCGAAGATTTTTTGTAGTTTCCCGAACGCTGCCCATCCGAGCTGGATTCGATGAGAGATCTCTTTCTCAAAGTTGGACTTACCTAACTGGACTGTCGGTCCCAGGTATAAGTAATGGTCAACAACTTCGGGTTTAGTGCTCCCAATTTTAACTGGAGCGGGTACAAAATGGGCATTCGACAATGTCTTCGTCCTGTCCATGTTCATCTTAAGACCCACTCATTGTGTTCAGGTCCCCAAGGTCTCAGCTATAAGAACTATATCATGGCAAATCGAAGGTGTGTTAGATACTCGCCGTTGATGTTGATGCCAAGTCCTTTCCAGTCCAGAAGCTTGAAAATATCCCTCCAATACTGCAGTGAACAATTTCGGAGATATCACATCTCCCTGTCTCACGCCTCGTTGCAGTTGGATAGGATTAGAGCTCTGATCCTGTAATCGGATTGACATTGTGGCGTTTTTGTATAGTACGTGTACTCTATTTGGCACCTTTGGAGAGACTGCAGCACCGCCAGGTCTCGATCGAATCAAAGGCCTTCTCATAGTCCACAAACGCTAAGCAAAGTGGCCGGTTATACTCCTCGGTGTTCTGTATAACCTGCCGCGGCATATGGATGTGGTCTGTGGTACTAAAATCCTTTCGGAAACCGGCTTGATCGGGAGGTTGGAAGTCGCCGAACCTACCAGCGAGACGATTTGTGATAACTCTCGAAAACAACTTATAGATAAAGCTCAAAAGCGAGATTGGCCAATAGTTCTTCAAGAGTGTTTTGTCACCCTTTTTGACGAACAGGACGACCTTGCTTCTGCCCCATGCCTTCGGCGTTTGACTTTCAACGATGATAGAATTAAAAAACTTCTGGAGGACTTTAAGTATCGGTTTGCCGCCCGCTCTCAGAAGTTCTGCAGTGATTCCATCATCGCCCGCCGCTTTGTTGTTCTTGAGTTGTTTGAGAGACACACTAATCTCGTACAGGCTGACATCCGGGATATCTTCGGTATAATGTCGGGTAAGCTTGGCTCTGGCGTCTTTAGCCTCCCTTTCAACAGTTGATTTCGTGGAGTATAGCTGTCGATAGAAACTCTCTATCTCCCTCAGGATTTTAGGCTTAGATGAAATGATGCTACCGTCATCAGTTTTCAGTATCGTCAGTTGGCTTTGTAAAACATGGTGATATTCAATAGACTTATTATAACATTTGAATTACTGTGAACAGTGAATTACGCAAGAAGCTACCATGAGCATTTTATGTCTCAATTGACTTTTGCACAAAAAATTGCATTGAGCTGTTCTACTCTAATGCAACAATTTTTAAAATTTTTGGAATTTAAAACACTAGTCCATTGCGGATAGGCAAAGCCGCACATTTTTCAAGAGAGGTAGAATCTTTTTCACCACGCAGTAGAAATCCTAGTGAAAGTTCCTCTAGGGAAGTACTGCTACCTTACCTATTTCTGTCACCAAGCAGTAATATGAATGATACTGCGTTACAAGGTGCAACATTGAGCCGTTTCTATGAAATAATTTGGTAGCACTGCTCCCTGAATGGCGGGGGATTGTGAAGAGGGAGAGAGAAGAGATCTCTCTCTTCTCTCTCCCTCTCCGTCCGTGTTTAAAGAGCAGCGTAAAGCCGAACTCGATACTAAAATGAGATACAGGTACGCTCACTCTTTTGTTGAGAGCATGAGCACCACCAACAACGGAGTTGAAGCAGCTGCCGTGGCCGAAAACGGTCAGTAGAATTCGCCATTCACGTCCATCCCCCACCACTAACTGTAATTACTTTCGTGGTGTACTCACGTGCTCTCAATGTGCACGAGTATTCGCCGCGAAGATTGGCTACGTTAGTTATCTTCGAGCGCATCAGCGCCAACTCATATAAAAGTGGTCAACAAAATGTCGCCAAGACCGAGCACGGTCGAATAGATAGACTGCTTTCCAGTTTAGAAGGATAAGGGTGCTGGTATAATTATTGGGACTTGTCACCCACTAGGCTACTACCGTTCGTTAGGTTGTCATTATTATGTTATTTTATTTTTATTTGACGTCGTTGTATTTCGACAACATTTTATCGTATGTTTTTTTGTAGTGCTTGTTTATATTTTCAGTCATACAAATTTATTTTACATTCATTGTTATTGTTTATAATAGTGACGATCATATTATCCTTTGACATTATATGTATTTTAAATTGTAACATTATGACATTGACAATACGAAAACAATATTATTTTATTTAATATTGATGAATGATAAACTATTCGTTACGTGCACAATGGAACAATCTAAACCATTTATTTAAATTACGATACAAAGGGTAAACACATAATAGCGTAAATACAACGGTTAGATTGAATGGATAGAATGGAACTCCCACGTCAGGGCCAGGGTGCCCCAAAATGTTGTCAGCTCTACCCCTTAAGTCTCCCAGTGGGTCCATTAATTTTACTATTTAGAATAGTATAACAAGTACAGTAAAGTCCCAAGTCCATATCGCACACCGATTTCAACAATGTTGTAAGCCAAAAATTATATATTTTTTAAACATTGTACTCATCATAATATTCACTGGTATTCGGTAAAAAATATGGCAACAATATATGTAA